GAGGGAAGCAGCCAAAATGAGACAAAAAAACAGGTCCCAAATGAAAGAACAGGAGAAATCTCCAGAAGAACTAAATTAACACCTTTCGTACCGCTCACGAGCTTTCTCGTGTTTCGCGCGCCATCTGTTAAGGACCGCTCACGAGTTTTCTCGTTTTTCGCGTGCCATCTGTTATGGACCTTAGATGTCAACACACTGTCTTGTCCACATCGAATGAAGCGATCTCATTGGTAGAAACCGTGCAGGTCAATCTACGAAAATCTATATAATTGCACGAACCCATAAAGCATTGCAGTTACATTGTATTTTGGTCATTCAAATAGTCTTCGTCTTCAAGTTCCTGGCACTTTTAGAAATGCCCTCTCTCAGAAAAAGGAAGGAAACCAACGAAACTGATACACTTCCTTTCGTGTTGTTCCATTCTAAGGAAAACGATGAAATGGACAAAAAAAGTAGTGCTGTACCTTATAAACTGGACTTTTCAATTCATTTAGAGTGTACAACGTCCTCAATCCACAAGCAAAAATGAAGTATAAACAGTTTCTGCTATCGGTGGCGAGAGACTGGATAACGGATGACAATAATGAAGGCTCTCTGGAACCAGAGACAAATCTGCCCAGCCCTTCCCCTGGGGGTGCAAGGAGAGCACCTCGTAAAGATCCACCCAAAAGGTTGCCAGGTGACATGAAGCAGCAGGAACCTATGTGTATTCCAGCGAGTGGAAAGAAAAAATTTCCTACGAGAGCTTGCAGAGTTTGTGCTGCCCATGGAAAAAGGAGCAAATCTAGATACTTATGTAAATTTTGTTTGGTCCCTCTTCATAGAGGAAAATGTTTTATGCAGTACCATACGTTAAAGAAGTACTAGGAACTTTAATTGTTTAATTGTTTTTGTAAATAAAAATGTTATAATTATTGAAAAACAACACCTAAAGTGCATTATGATCTGTAGTTATGATGATTTAAATAACGTGCAGTTTGCCCAAAAACGTGCGGTCCCTGGCGGATGTCTTAAGAGATTTCTATGCGGTACGAAATGTGTTTAAGTAGAGGCAAGCAATATACCAGATACAGAATTCAAAACAATGGTTATAGGGATGCTCAAGGAACTTAGTGAAAACTTCAATTAAAAAAAAGGACATGAGAACCATAAATAACCAGTCAGAAATGAAAGGTATGATAAACTGAAATGAATAATTTACAGGAAATAAACAGTAGAGTTGATGAAGCAGAGAATCAAATTAGTGACTCTAAATATAGAGAAGCAAAAAGAAAAAAGAATTTTAAAAATGAGAACAGTGCCCTGGCCACATGGCTCAGTTGATTGGAGTACCATCCCATATACCAAAAGACTGCAGTTTCTATTTCCTGGTCAGGGCACATACCTGGGTGGCAGATTCAATTCCAGGTTAGGGTGCCTAAAGGAGGCAACAAATTGACGATTCTCTCTCTAGCCCCCGCCTTCCCCCCCCCACCTTTCCTTTCTCTAAAAATCAATAGAAACATATCCTCAGATGAGGATTTTTAAAAATGAGGATAGTTTAAGGTCCCTCTGGGATAACATCAAACATACCAAAACTTGCATCAGAAGGGGAAGAGAGAGCTAGGGTTGAAAACCTATTTGTAGAAATAATGACAGAAAACTTGCCTACTTAGTAAAGAAAATAAACATTCAAGCCCAGGAAGCACAGAGTTCCAAATAAGATGAACTCAAAGAGGCCCACACCAAGACACATAAATTAAAATGCCATAATTAAAAAGACAATCTTAAAAGAAGCAAGAGAAAAGTAGTTAGTTACCTACAACAGAGCTCCCATAACCCTGCCAGCTGATTTTGCAACAGAAACTTTGCAGGCCAGAAGGGACTGGCACCTACATCCACAATTACTTTACCAGCAAAGCTATCATTAGAATCAAAGGTCAGCTAAAGAGCTTCCCAGACAAGAAAAAGCTAAAGGAGTTCATTACCACCAAACCAGTATTACATGAAATGTTAAAGGGTTTTTAAGAAGAAGAAGGAAAATCAAAAGTAAGACTAATAAGAGGGCAATAAATCATATCTATCAACAGTTACTTTAAATGCTCAAATCAAAAGACATACAGTGCTCAGTTGGTTTGAGAGTTGTCCCATACACCAAAAGGTTGCAAGTTTGATCCCAGGTCAGCACCTGCCTAGACTGCAGATTTGATCCCTGGTCAGGGTGCATACGGGAGGCAACTGAGCCATGTTTCTCACATCAGTGTTTCTCTCCCTCTTTCTAAAATCAGTTAAACAAAAAACATCCTCAGATGAGGATTTTTCAAAAAGATATATGGTGACTAGGATGGATAAAAAAATTGTATGAAACTTAATATCAAAAGACAGACTAAAAGTGAAGGGATGAAAAAAGATATTTCATGAAAGTGGAAACAAAAAACCAGCTGGGGTAGCAATACTTATGCCAGATAAACTAGACTTTAAAACAAAGGATACAACAAGAAACAAACAAGGACCCAGCAGCTCCACTTCTGGATATTTATTCAAAGAAACAAAACATACTAAACCAGAAAGACATATACATCCATATGTTTGTTTCAGCATTATTTACAGCAGTCAAGATATGGAAACAACCTAAGTGTCCATCAACAGGTGAATGGATAAAGAAGTGGTGTATGTGTACAATAAAGGAGTTCATTACCACCAAACCAGTATTACATGAAATGTTAAAGGGTTTTTAAGAAGAAGAAGGAAAATCAAAAGTAAGACTAATAAGAGGGCAATAAATCATATCTATCAACAGTTACTTTAAATGCTCAAATCAAAAGACATACAGTGCTCAGTTGGTTTGAGAGTTGTCCCATACACCAAAAGGTTGCAAGTTTGATCCCAGGTCAGCACCTGCCTAGACTGCAGATTTGATCCCTGGTCAGGGTGCATACGGGAGGCAACTGAGCCATGTTTCTCACATCAGTGTTTCTCTCCCTCTTTCTAAAATCAGTTAAACAAAAAACATCCTCAGATGAGGATTTTTCAAAAAGATATATGGTGACTAGGATGGATAAAAAAATTGTATGAAACTTAATATCAAAAGACAGACTAAAAGTGAAGGGATGAAAAAAGATATTTCATGAAAGTGGAAACAAAAAACCAGCTGGGGTAGCAATACTTATGCCAGATAAACTAGACTTTAAAACAAAGGATACAACAAGAAACAAACAAGGACCCAGCAGCTCCACTTCTGGATATTTATTCAAAGAAACAAAACATACTAAACCAGAAAGACATATACATCCATATGTTTGTTTCAGCATTATTTACAGCAGTCAAGATATGGAAACAACCTAAGTGTCCATCAACAGGTGAATGGATAAAGAAGTGGTGTATGTGTACAATGGATTACGACTCAGCCATAAGAAGAATGAAATCTTGCCATCTGCAACAACATGGATGGGCCTAGAGAGTATTAGGCGAAGTGAAATAAGTCAGAGAGAGACAGATGCTGGATGACTTTACTTATATGTGGAATCCAAAAAAATAAAAATGAAGGACAGAAACATAGATACAGAGAACATTTTGATGGTTGCCAGATGGGAGGGGGGATTGAGGAATGGGTGAAAAGGGGAAGGGATTTAGAAGTATAAATTGGTAGTTACAGAATAGTCACAGAGATACAAAGTACAGCCTAAGGAATATAGTCAATATTATAACTAAGTATGGTGTCAGATGAGTATGAGATTTATTGGGGTGATCACTTAAGTTATATAATGTCTAATCACTACGTTGTATACCTGAAACTAATATTGTACGTCAACTATAATTTAGAAATAATTTTTTCAATTAAAAACACAGAACAAAAAGAAAACAGGCTCAATGGCTCCTATGTGGTGCCCTTTTTCAGTGTTATTACTAAATAGAATGAGAAATAGTCTATTTAGTAATAACACCTGCCTAAAATGCTTAGCGCTAATATGAAACTGTTCTTGCTCCTTGGTGGTTATACACAAAACCACTGTAAGCCTGACTGTGTGTTGCTAGGGCCTTCTCCATTTTACTGGCATAATGCCTGCTGACATTGAGGAACTGAGAGTCATGTCCCATCAATGGTAAGAAGATCTGCTATGTATGCAAAGCTAGGCACCATGAAAAGAAATACAAAATATGTACATCTCTGCCCTTTGTCTTGTAGTGGCGTATAACAAAAGACTGGCTCTAAGACAGTGTTACTGCAACTTTCCAGTTTATCCCGAGGAATAATAAGGTGGAGATAGAGGTGTAAAAACAGTTACCTATGATCTGTCACTTCCCCACCACAGACTTCAGGGGCAGGGAGTCTTGTAAGGAAGAGGTTATCCTGCCTTACGTCCTTGGCTTTAGTCATTGGCTGTGTCCTAAGATGCTGATGTGAATCAGAAAGAGACTGTCATTTTGTTTTTGTTAGCAGGTCTTTCACACGGTGACTTCCCTTGGGCTGAATGAACAGGAGCTGTTATTTCTTAGCCAGTCAGCAGCTGGACCTCACTCCTCTCTCTCTTCTTGGAATGGTGTTCCTGATGTGGGCATGGTCAGTGACATCCTGTTTTGGATCTTGAAGGAACATGGGAAGAGTAAAAGCAGAGCTTCAGACCTCACCAGGATCCATTTCCACACGCTGGTCTACCACATCCTGGCAACTGTAGATGGACACTGGGCCAACCAGTTGGCAGCTGTGGCTGCAGGAGCTCGTGTGGCTGGGACACAGGCCTGTGCCACAGAAACCATAGATACCAGCCGAGTGTCCCTGAGGGCACCCCATGAGTTCCTGACTTCCCATTCGGAGGCAGGCTCCAGGGTCATATTCAACCCTGACGATCCAGTGATAGAATGGCACAGGGAGGGGGTGTCCTTCCACTTCACACCCGTATTGGTCTGTAAAGATCCTATCCGAACTGTGGGCCTTGGCGATGCCATTTCAGCTGAAGGCCTCTTCTATTCAGAAGTACACCCTCACTATTAGGAAAGTTGTTATGGGTAATTTTTCTGAAGAAGGAGAACTAGCCAATTTAAGAATTAACAGGAATTAAGTGGTTTGGAAAATAGGGTTGAGGTATCAGAACAGTTTCTAGATTTAATTCAAAGACAGCCAACAACACAATAGATTAAATTATCAGATACATTCCAACCTGCTGACAATTACACAAAAAAGTTTCAGGTTTTAATCCAAATTTATCTACTGAGACTGGATTTTTAGGTTTGTTTATGTTGTGTTATATGGGTAAAAAATATGATTCCCAAACCCCCAGTTTACATAGCGTCTTTACCCTGGCTGGAGCGCATGCCAGCTGGAAAAAAACACCTCCCTCCTCCCCACCTCAGAAGTGCATGCTCATTCATCATGTCTAGTAAAGCCCACGGTGAGCCTCTCGTGTCCTCTCTCCGCTCAGTGTTCATGGGCAGGGTCATGACTTCCATTCAGTGTTATAATGAAAATACTTAATGAGCACACCTTAGTCTTCTCTCTAAGACAGAGCCTCAAGTAAGGACAAAATCACCCCTCCTGTGCTTCATTCTCAGTGAGGCAGGATCCCTGTGGAGCCTGGGAGAGAATTGGCCATTCTGCACTGGTTTAGAAGCCTGGCTGACCTGTAGGGTGGGTGACTATGCGAGCTGAAGGGCTGTGCCTTCCTGCCCTTGCCCTGGCTTCTTAGATTGTAGGCCAGCTGGTCAAAGACTACCATGCTGGGCCCAACCTTATTGCCCAGCTCTGGACATACTTTCTCCAGTAGAAGACTGATCTTTGTTTATTCTGGTCCTTGAAGGAATCTGCTTTTACAACTTGAATATGCTTCTGTGTGTATAACTGATCATGTGTGTTTTACATTGACATATCACATCCATTTAAGAGTTTGACCTCATAAGAGCCCAGGATCATGAAGAAATATGTCATGTTATGTATTTATTTTTTTATAAATCAAAGAGACGTCTGTGTGCTTTTAAATATATTAAAAACAATTACATTTCAGGAGTCCTAAGACTATTTGCAATTGATTTTGTTCTACCTATCACTCTGGAGCCAGATATAGTAGAAATTATTCCAACATTAACTTGTGAGTTCTATGTTACTCTGCTCTTGAGGTGTTTATCTTCTCTTCCCCATCACTGGTTGGGCAGTCCCTGAGACTGAGCCTCTGTGTTTTAAAGTGACAGAAGATACTAGTATCAAGTAGTGAATCCAGTAAGAAACAGCAGTTTGAAAGGATGGTGAGCCTTCTCAGTTTGTTCAAAGAGCAGTATTGATATGGCAGCTGCTGGCTTGCAGCAGCAGCTTCTGGAATCTTGAAGCTAGCTCAAGTTCTTCATTTGTGACCTCTCCTTCCCTACTTTGGGTAAGAAGAAAAGGCTTGGTTACTCCTTCAAGAAAACTTAAGCCTGGAGAGTTATGCAGCTTGAAATTCAAAACAAGTAGTTTAAGGAAATCTCTGGCTGCCACCTCATCAGGCTCTGCCTCCAATTTCAATTAAATACCAACCTTCTAGCCCAGGGGTGGGCAAACTTTTTGACTCGAGGGCCACAATGGGTTCTTAAACTGGACCGGAGGGCCGGAACAAAAGCATGGATGGAGTGTTTGTGTGAACTAATATAAATTCAAAGTAAACATCATTACATAAAAGGGTACGGTCTTTTTTTTTTTTTTTTAGTTTTATTCATTTCAAACGGGCCGGATGCGGCCCGCGGGCCGTAGTTTGCCCACGGCTGTTCTAGCCTATTTTACTGGAAAGACTGAAGTAAGAAGAGATTTCTATTTTCTCAAAAAGAACTGAAATAAGTTATCATTTATGTTCTAAACCTGAGAATACTTTGAGAGTTCCCAAGTGTTCTCCACGTGTCTACTCAGACCCCGATATTAGTATATATTCAGCAAGTTCTCCAGTTTTCACAGGTGATATCAATAAAGACTAATCCAGGATGTGTAGTCCGCAACTGGGGGGCGTGGCCAGCCTGAAAACGGCCCTCAGCCCCTCACCCAGGCTGGCCACACCCCCATAGGGTGAGGGTCCCCACTGGGGGGCTTGGCCAGCCTGCAAACAACCATCAGCCCTTCACCCAGGCTGGCCACACCCCCACAGGGTGAGGGTCCCCACTAGGGGCCTTGACCAGCCTGCAAACAGCTATCAGCCCCTCACCCAGGCTGGCCAGGCACCGCAGTGGGGACCTCCACACCGAAGGGTGTGTGGCCAGTCTGAAAACGGCCCTCAGCCCCTCCCCCAGGCTGGCCAGGCCCCGCAGTGGGGACCTCCACACCGAAGGGTGTGTGGCCAGTCTGAAAACGGCCCTCAGCCCCTCCCCCAGGCTGGCCAGGCACCCCAGCGGGACCCCCACCCTGATCCGGGACCCCCTACAGGGCAAACCAGCCAGCCCCCATCTGTGCCCCAAGCCTCTATCCTATATAATAAAAGGGTAATATGCAAATTGACCCTAACAGCAGAACGACTGGGAATGACCTGGCACTATGACACACACTGACCAGCAGTGGGCAGACACTCAAAGCAGGAGCTGCCCCCTGGTGGTCAGTGCGCTCCCACGGGGAGCTCTGTTCAACCACAAGCCAGGCTGACGCCTGCCAGCAAGCGGTGGTGGCAAGAGCCTCTCCCGCCTCCTCAACAGCACTAAGGATGTCCAACTGCAGCTTAGGCCTGCTCCCCGCTGGCAAGTGGACATCCCCCGAGGTCTCCCGGGCTGCAAGAGGGATGTCTGACTTCCAGTTTAGGCCCGATCCCCCGGGGAGCGGGCCTAAG